TCAGAAGAGAAAATAAGGTTGAGGGTATTGCCAGCTATATGGGTGGGAGAATTAGCCCACTGCAATAGCCAGCGGGAGGAAGTAATTGAAAGTAGTTTAGAGGCTGCTGAGGTCAAAGGTGAGTTAATGGGAATAGTGAAGTCTCCAAGAATTAGGGATGGAATATTAGAAGAGAGGAAGTAGGTTAGCCAGGCACAGGGCCGCCACCAGAAATTTTGGGGCCCCTAACTCAGCTCAGGGTCTGGGCCCCTGGGGCCTGCCTTCAATCCCACCCACAGGGTCCGCCTCCAAATCCCACCCACAGGAAAACACACACACACACACACACACACACAAAAACACACACACTGATACAAAAGGACACAGATACACACACACATACTGACAGACACACATACTGAAACAGACATACACGCATATAGGCATTCATACTGACACACACATACAGACACATGCATGAGGACATACAAACACATACATACACACACACACACACACACACATGCATATATACATTCATACACACACAGACATACATTCATGATGACACACATACATACTGACAGACACACAGACATACATAATGGCATACAGACATACATTGATACTGGCATACATACATACAGACACACAGACATATATACATACATACTGACACACAGACTGACATGCATATATACACACACACACACACACACACACACAGAGCCTATTTTTCAGCCACTGTCCTGTTTCTTACCTTTTCTTTGCAGGAGGGTGGCTGGGGCTGATAGGATTCGGCACGGGTGTCCCTCTTCACTGCCTGGCTGGCTCTCCTCCCGCACGGAGTGAGCTGGGAGGAAGTGACCACTTCCTCCCAGCAGTACTTGTGTTGCAGCTGCGTTTTTTTTTTTTTTTTTTAAAGGGGCTGGTCGTGCTATTACACGGTTTGACTGGGCCCCTAAAGATATAGGGCCCATAGGGTGGCCCTAAGTGCGTGGGCCACCTGATAGGCCCCATTAGCTGAGGGTCTGGGGCCCGCTGCCAATCCCGCCCACAGGGTCTGCCTCCAAATCCCACCCACAGGAATACACACACACAGACACACACACACACTGATACAAAAGGACACAGATACACACAATGTTACATAATAACAGACATACACGCATATAGGCACACATACTGAGACATACACACATGTACAGACACACAGGCATAGATAGTGACATACAGACACATACTAACATACATACAGACACACATGCATGAGGACAAACTTACTCATTCTCAATATGTGGAACACAGAGTAATCTTGTACATGTGGGGTTACAAACACTTGCCTTCATTACAATATTTTCCACAAGCAGCTGTCCAACTGGACCAGAACAAAATGTGAGTGAAAGGGGAATCGTACAGTTTTTTTGCATATGGCCTATTTCAAGACTATTTAGTTCAATGGGTATTTGATATTTATAAAGTTACAGTTTTAAACATAAGGGTACAATCAATGAGGTTTCAAAACATCTTACAATGAAGATCACATTATGCCACTCAAATCATGTTCTAGATGCCAGCAGAGGTAAAGGAAGAACCCTGGTAAGGCTATGGGTATATAGAAACCTCTCCTCAAACAAGACCACCCTGAAGATCATCCACGGAATGGGCCCCAAACCAGACTGCAATGTATTCCCACTCCCACTCAGCAGAATTGCGATAGGACATCAACTCACATCCAGAATGTGAAGGAAGCCAGCAGTGAAAAACAAAAAAAATCTCCACAACCTCACACACAAAACAGAAGTGTCAGATCCACTTTAAAAGTTTGTATTTACATTTCTCATCCATAAAACAAACTCATATCGCCTGAACAATGCTGTAAACACTATTTACATTTATGGAGTTGATAGTTTGTAATTTAAAAAACCCAACCATCACTATTCTATATCCATCAAAAATAAAATGATGGAAAATAGGTTTAGCACCTTGAGTGCCAGGTGTAGGCAACCTTCGGCACTCCAGGTGTTGCGGACTAGTTTGCCAGATTTATGGCATTAAGTGCATTATGGGAGATGTAGACCACAACATCTGGAGTGTCAAAGGTTGCCTACCCCCGAGTCCTATAGATTGCAAATTAATTCTCTTAAAAAAAATAAATAAAGACAATTAACAATAAATAGAAAATAAAAATAAAGTTAAAATGTCTATGGTTGTGAAAACCACTAGTTTAAGTGCTTTTGTTTTGAAGGTCAAGAACGTTAAGATTTCAGAATTTAGCAACAAAGTAACACAGTTGATAATCTTCTTCCAAGTCTAAAATCATCTCCATTATTCTCTCTTCTTCATTGGCTGCCAAGTTCCCTGGCCCGGCACCAACTTTCTTGATATTCAGGATCGGAGATGAAATGTTCTGAGGAGAGGATGGCCCTAGGGACAAGTCACACAAGTCTCAGTGAAGATGGATATGGCGAGGTACAAGGTCAATATTCAAAGCAATGATGTCCTAATGTAATACATGAAATGCAATGGAGGAGACCAGCACTCTGTATAGGAAATATATGATACCATATCAAATCCTGGTAGAAAGGAAAAGAAGCACTCCAACACCAGTGATTACACTGCCAGGTCCACATTGGCATAAATGTATCCTTAGATTGTTGCATTGGCATTATTGTTTTATTATTTAAATAGCGCCATCAGATTCTGTAGTGCTGTACAATGGGTGGACTAACAGACATGTAATTGTAACCAGACAACTGGATGTACATGAACAGAGAGTTGGAGAGCCCTGCTCAATGAGCTTACATTCTAGAGGGAGTGGGGTATAGTGACACAAAGGGTAAAAGTAGGGGTACGAAGTAAGTTGTTAGAAAAGTATTCACTGAGGGCTTAGTAGGTAATTTTTGACAGTTGCAGGAGAGGAGTCATGGGGGTGGGGGATAAAAACCTACTAACAGTTTAATTGATATGCTTTCTTGAAGAAGTGAGTTTTCAATGATTTTTTGAATGAGTGGAGACTGGGTGAAAGTCTTAAGGAGAAGGGAAGAGAGTTCCACAGAGGAGGTGCAGCCCTGGAGAAATCTGGGAGGAGAGCATTAGAGGTGGGAGTACGGACAGAGCAGGATTATGTAAGTGTACATGTAGTTTGCCCTTTGGTTGTGCAGACAAAAGTTCAAAGGATGTCAGTGGAGGATCGACTGGAAGACTGTATGCGCACTTCAGTCGCTGAAAGTAGAATCTGTGAGTGGCAAACCTGAAGTCTCTGGAGATGAATGACATAGCTACTAGATTATTTTCTCAAATTATATAAAATAGTGCAGGGGAGTCCAATAGGTAGATCCCCAGGTGTTTTAAAACCACAGCTTCCATCATGCTTTGTCATTCTAGAGACATTTTAAAAGGACGCAAACAGGTCTAGCGCAACTGTTAGGCATTCTCCTAGGGCTCAGGCCTTCTGGGGGGCGGTGGGCGAGTGAGTAGATCTGTCAGTGAGTGAGTGTATCGGTCAGTCAATGTGTTTGTATGTCGGTCAGTGAGTATGTATTTGTGTGCGTCTATCAGTGGGAGTATGTGTGTGTGTGTGTGTGTGTGTCACTGAGTGTGTATGACCACGTAAATTGATTATATTTATTAGTTATATATTTTATTAAAAATAATTTTTTTTAAATGATTTTGCTTAAAGAGTACCTATCAGACAAGTTCACTGTAACAAACTAAATCCCATTATTCTAAAATTAAATTCACCAAATACATTGAATACATAATTTATTATAGTGATAAATTATGCATTCAATGTAAAAATGTATGTATGTATGTATGTATGTATGTATGTATGTATGTATGTATGGGTGCAGGTATTAAGCAGTATGTGTGTATGGATGTACGCATTAGGCAGTGTATGTGTATGGATGCATGTATTAGGCAGTGTGTGTATGGATATAGGTATTCAGCAGTATGTGTATATGGATGTAGGTATTAAGCAGTATGTGTGTACGGATGCATGTATTGGGCAGTGTGTGTGTATTAATGTAGGTATATATGGATGCATGTATCAGGCAGTATGTGTATATGGATTAGGCAGTGCGTGTTGCAAACCATATGGCAAAATTTCGGCCAAAAGCTGATCTAGAAGGAAATTATTTATTACTGGTATTTATAAAGTGCCAATAGATTCCGCAGCGCTGTACGATTTGTGGAGAATATACACAGACAAATACAAAAAGGCCCTGCTCGTAAGCTGAAATCTTGCCATTTAAGCCCTTTTATACAAAGTGCATAGGTAGATAGCGCGTGAGCCTACAATCTAAAGGCTACTGTGGAGATTTGAGACTAGAGGTGGCAAGGGAAATTTGGAAGTGATGGCTAAGTAAGGAAACAGAGTTGCAGCTATTGGTAGAATATAGAGAAAATGAAGAGGTAAGTGAGTGAGAATTTTAAACAGCTGGAGGAGCATGCTATAAATTTAGGGGGAACCTGGGTGGGCTGAGCAGAGTAGAATTGTCGAGGCTTGCAGTAGAGATGGTATGGGAAATGGGCCTAGGGAGGGAGTAGAGATGAACAGTTATATCAAGGTATTTACAGCTAGGAGTGGCAAGCATGGGGGAGGAGTGGCAAGCATGGGGGAGGAGTGGCAAGCATGGGGGGAGGAGTGGGAGGGGACAAGAAACCGTGGTGAATTACAGTTTTGCCAATCAAATCCTAACAGCCAGATTATTAATTAATGCATGTAGCTGCAAGTACAAGATACTACAGTGGTACACTATAGATAACAATGAAAACATTATAAATAAGTAATCTAGTGGCTACAGTTTCTTAAACTTTGCAATTTGTTTTTTTAACTCACTGCAATTTGGAGTTTAGTGAATAAACCTCTGTGACATTGTATTTGCTTTCATGAGGGGGCGGCAAAATAGATCTTTGCCTAGGCAGAAATCCTTGCAACGGCCCTGCATGCAAAGCATCATGGGAGTTGTAGTACTACAATATCTGGGGATCTAACTTTTGGGCATCCCTGATATAGTGCAATACAAACTTTGAAATTTAGTCAAACATAGCAGATTTGGCCAAATTCTGAAACCCAGTTTGCCTATTTTTGCAGTGAAAATATCAATTCACTTCAATTCAGAGTTTAGTGTTCCTTTAACAGCTCTTCAATAGGCTTCATCCATATCGGTTTGGCCAGCGCTCTAGTACCTGGGCAGCCACTGGTCCCTTGTTATATTTGTAGATTGAACAATTCTTACTGTGAAGGTCAGGACACACTGCATTCATCACAGGCATGATCATTCAAACAGAGCATTTGACATTTTAAAGTTTCAAAACCGCAGTGATTGAAAGAAGCACAAGATTATATTTACAGCAGATAAAATGTTGACAAACTGGCATGCCTCTAGATTTTGTTTAGCAATTAACAGGTATCCCCAGCCTCTAGTGAATGAGCTAGGAGTTCTTAAACATCATCTACCTGTGCATTTTGAATGTTTTAAATCCTTTATGAATTAATTTTAATTGTTCTTATTCTGTTAACTAACTATTAAATCATCGCCAGTACCAGTGATGAAAGATGGGGGAGTCTGTCCTGTACAGCAGAATGATTGTGATTTAAGACCATATTCATATTTTTATGTTTACTAGAATGTTGTGGACAAAAATATTAACCCAATCCATGTTGGTAAAATGCCTATTTACTCAGTATATAGATAAGGCCAGGGACAAATGAAAGTATTTAGAAAATTGGGCAGACTATATGGGCCGAACGGTTCTTATCTGCCGTCACATTCTATGTTTCTATGTATAACTACAATCAGCATTATTTAACTTTCTATGTGATTTATCTAAAATGGCCGCTAGGGAATTTCCCTTTGACATCGACTAACACCCTGATTAACAAGATGGTGCTGGAATCTGGGGGAGACCTCCAAGATACCAGTGACATCACACCCGGTAGGAAGAGCACTAAATGAACCACTTAACACCTAACCAATTATTGATGTATTATTTCATGTTATCTCTGACAATGCATATGATGTCATTTTGCTTTATAAGGGACATGCCGTCCCCTCAGAATAAACATCCCTCAAGTTTTTCCATTAACCCGAAACCTGTGTCTGGTGTGAATTACTTTAGGCGCGTGCACGCATTACTTCTTAATTTGGCTGGGGGCAGATACGCAAGATAATCAATTTATTGAATGATTCCACATCGTTTGGCGCCCAACGTTGGGCACCAGTTCGGACGGACGGAAAACGCCTGATCACCTCCTAAATACAGCGGTTTGCCTGTATTCTCCTGTTTTGTGTCGGTCTGTCTCCGTGTCCACTTCCGGCTTCCAGAAGGCAACAAGACAGGTAATCTCTTATCCTGTGCCTTTTAAAACGAACCTGTCGATTGTCTATCTGCCTCCTGAGTGTATGTATGCGTGTGAGACAGCTGATGTTACATAGTTACATAGCTGAAAAGAGACTTGCGTCCATCAAGTTCAGCCTACCTCACATTTGTTTTTTGCTGTTGATCCAAAAGAAGGCAAAAAAAACCCAGTTTGAAGCACAATTTTGCAACAAACTAGGAAAAAAATTCCTTCTTGACCCCAGAATGGCAGTCAGATCCTTGGATCAAGCAGTTATTACCCTACATTGAAAGATTATATCCTTGAATATTCTGTTCTTGCAAGTATGCATCTAGTAGCCGTTTGAACATCTGTATGGACTCTGATAAAACCACTTCCTCAGGCAGAGAATTCCACATTCTGATTGTTCTTACAGTAAAAAAACACCTTTGCTTTGCCTTAGACGAAATCTTCTTTCTTCCAGTCTAAACTGGTGATGTGTGGTTTATACTTTATTATTATTATAGCTTGACTGCCTAGCGGGCAGGGAACGCACCTGCCCGGTGAAGGTCTGGGAACCGCCTAAAGAAAGGCTGGGAATATTGTCCACCCGGTGAAGGGCTGAGAACCGCCTAGAGAAAGGCTGGGAATATTGTCCGCCCGGTGAAGGGCTGGGAACCGCCTAGAGAAAGGCTGGGAATATGGTCCGCCCGGTGAAGGGCTGGGAACCGCCTAGAGAAAGGCTGGGAATATGGTCCGCCCGGTGAAGGGCTGGGAACCGCCTAGAGAAAGGCTGGGGATTTATTATAGCTTGACTGCCTAGCAAGCAGGCAACGCATCCGCCTAGAGAAAGGCTGGGAATTTTGCTGTACTGTTCAGAGTAGAACAGGGTTCATTTACCATTTAGTTGTTACTATGTTTGTAGTTATACTGTTCTTTGTTATATTATGTTTCCTATTCAGTTGTAGTCATAGTGTGGGTACCCTAGTTGTGTGTTTGTGTGTTGTGTGGCTTGTCTTTGATTCCGGATCATGTGCGCATCTCTACATCTGAGACTCCTGTAAATGTCTTCTGATTAGTCTCTCCACATTCACCTTTTCCCTTATTCTCTACCTCTCCTGTACTTGGTGCCCAGAGCTGTGCTAGTCACCCACGCTCGCCCGCTTAGATCCGTGACCACTATCTCGGGTGGGCGGATCCTGTGACTAGTCTACATTTAGGGAAGACGAACGGGGATCAATTCCTCGTGGCAGTCGAGCACTGTAGACATTCCCTCTTTCTCCACCCCCCACTCCCTCTCCCTCTTACAGGGAAAGCCTTGTTTGGTAAAAATGGGACAAGAACACGCCAGACCTTCCGAAGGCTATTTAGCTTGTGATATTATTAAGGAGATAGCAGGAGAAGAGGCTATGTTAAAAATAAAGAAGATAGCAAAGATTTGTGGTTTTCAAATGTCACCCAGTGGTAGATTACAGCCAGAGTTTTGGAGGAAATTGCTTATTATAAAGAGAGCTTGCTATTGGATAATGGGTTGACGAAAGCCGTGGAGGCTTGGTATCGGGTACTCAAGAGGACTCAAGCGGGAGGGTTGGTCAGATGAAGAACTAGATTTTGAAGGACAAACGATTTATGTATATCACAGAAATGTTTGTAATGATGATTCGTCTCTTGATGTTCCCTGGCCACTGCCCTATGATGGCGCCAAGAATACCATGAATAAATCTCGCCCCGCTTCTCCAGTCACTGCCCAGTCGCCACCTCCAATTGGCATAGGCCCCACCCCTCTGTACCCCGTCCTCGGGGCGGACAGATCCTATTATTACCCCGTCCTTCTCCTGCCTACCTCCACACTTCCCATTATTCCGGTCCCCCTGCCACTTCCCTCTGATCCCGTCCCTCTTCCACCTTCCCTTGTTGCTACTGATGCCGTCCCTCTGCTACCTCCCTCCATCACTTCTCCCGACATCACCCCTCTCCCACCTCCCCAGTCATCCCTCCTATTCCTGGTCCCCTACCACCTTTACATGTTGCCTCCCCTGACGCCCCTCTAGTTCCTCTCCCTGTCATTCCTTCTGCTCCTGTTCCCCTCTCCCGTTGTTCCCCCGTTGCATCTCTCTCTGCCATATTCCCCTCTTCCCCCTCTACTCCTGCTCCTACCTCTCCTCTCCCCACCACCCCTTCTGTCCCCGTTCCAGATTTCCCTCCACTTCCCGCCTCCAATCCTGTTGAACCTCCCTCCTTTAATCTTTCGTCACTCATCTCCACCCTCTCCACTCATCTCCCTCAGCCTACTCAGCCTGCACCCTCACCCAGTCCGGCTCCTGTCCCCGCCTCCCTCATGGCAACTTCCAGCTATCCAATCATGATCGTTGGGTCAAATAAATCTACCGTGTCGGGAAAACCTCATGCTGTAGGCGCTTCTCCTGCCGCGTCAGACTTCCATCCCACTACCTCCCAGTTATTTACTCCCCAGGCCATCACTGTCGGTTCTCCCAACTCCGATGCTTCAGCCGCTCAAGCCCCTAATTCACCAGATGTTGCCAGTTATCATGGTCTCCCATTCTCGGTTCCCGCCTCGAGGATGACAATGTGCAGGGGCTTAGCCCATTCCGTCCTTCGAATAATACGGTTTCCCAGAGACAGGCCACCCCAGCCAACCACATCCCTGCTCTATCAACAGTGGAAGGGGCTCCCCCGATGTATGTTATTTTCAACCCATCCCAAGCTGCAACCCTAGTAACCTCTCTCCCCAACCCTGAGAGGCAGCCTATGCCCTTCTTCCGGTTGCCCAGATTCGTAAGACATACTCAGCAGCCTGGTGTGATCTGTATAGTCTGTGTGAAATCAAGGCTGGGGATGCCCATTGGCCCATTATGGAAAGGAGTTTTAATGACGCTCTCCTCACTACTGATACGGATTTCCAGTCGGGTATTACATTCTGTGAACAGCTTCGGGCCTGGGCCCAGGATAAACTAGCTGACCAAGCCACTTGTATAAATGATATTATACAAGACAAACTTGAATCTGTGGAAAAGTACCATTCACGGTTGACTCAAACTTTCTCCGATCTCTGATTCAGTGTATATAACAAAGCACATACCCAGATGTTATCCGCTGCCTTTGTTGCTGGCCTTAAGAAAGCCATCAGGAAAAGCTTAGTGCTTTCTCGCCCCGAATACAGAATTATTCCTTTGGACACGCTCTTACTAGTTGCCAAGGGCCTAGAATCTGCTCTACAGCCACCCCAAAGGAAAAGTAATCCTCTCATGTTTGCCATTCATAGCCCTGCCACCAGACCCGCCCCGGTCCCCCCAGGATATCCCATGCTATCTACCCTGCCAGCTGCGCAGGGGCAGCACATGACACCCACCCGTAGGCCTCAGATCAGGGCATGCTTTAATTGTAACCAACCAGGCTATTTCCGGAGAGATTGCCCACACCCTAGGGTGCCTAGACAGCCGACCACTAATGTACCCCAATGCCCCTGTGGCCACGTATGGTGATCTCCAACCTGGTTACCCTCCGGCACATACTTCAAATTACCCTCCTCAGGAATATGCACAAGCTGTCTATCAACCCTCTCCATCTAATACTCACCCCCCACCCATGCTCACCCTTCCCCTGATAGTTATGATATAGATGATTTCCAACAAGATGAACCCCCTGCACCCAGTCATTATCGCCCTACATGTCTGTCCAACCCATCAGGCCAGCCACTCCACCACACCCGCACGTCACTACACTGGCCCTGATCAATCTCATCTGGCCTTGTACAATAGGTAGCCGGCAAACCTGTGTCTTACACCCCTGTCATGGCAGTGTCTACAGGGGACAAGGGGGGGGGGGCCTCTCGCTACAGTTGTCCTACCAGTTGAGGGTCATCCTACTACCTTTTTAGTTGACACAGGT